GGATGGGATTTTAGCAGCCATTATACATGTCACCATGAAGAAGAGTCGAGAGGAGGATAGAGCAGCATCCCAGAGAGAGGAGAGAAAACGCATAAAGTTATGGCCGGGGGGAAGGGTGAGGATGTGTGAAAAGAGAGGGAGAGGAGAGGTAGAGGTAGAGGAGGTGTATGTGTCAGGGAAATCATTCCCCCTCCACAATTAAAACAGCTGCCAAGGTTAATCTATGCCTGATCAATCAGGGGCTTCCTACACTCCGTTCAGTCTTCAGCTGGGAGACTGGGAGACATCATCCATCTAAATGAAGCTCGCGTGAACTTGTGTGCGTGACTCTGACAGGAGAAGAGCGTTTCACATTTTCTAAGCAGGTGTATGGCTAACAAAATCAGTGCAGTACAATGTCAGAGACTAGCAGATGTGCGCTCCTTCTGTGGATAACAACAGCCCTGTTTCACGGCAAGCCAAAAGCATAAATAAATGGCATAGAAGTGTGGAAACCTTTTTTTCTGCACCAAATCTATTCACGCCAAGCCTGGTGCTAATGTACTGTAGGAAATTTTTTGAAAAATGTTTGATTTTCACATGAAAATATATAAAATCTGAAGGAACAAAAAAATACAAATTTACAAATACTAAAAACATTTCATTCTTAAAGAGGCTACATGCGTTTTCCTGAAATTTAAACTCGTGACTGACACCTGTGGCCAAAAAACAGAACTTCTCTTCCTTTCTGCTCGCTCTCGCAGCACGCGCTCGTACGTCCACACTTCACAAGTCATCTGCTGCAAGGAGGTCAACATTATGTTTAACAGTCAGGTAAGAACTACTTGCTGACTAGCGGTGGTGGCAGAATGATCTGAAACGTTTAACATGAACACGCTTGACGTCACATCCGCAGACAGCGCGGGAAAAGTCCGACCCGACAGAAAATAGGAAAAAAACAGGCTTATGGGTGCACCCACTGTGAGCGGACAAGGTGTCAGTATGCTCATCAGGAGATGTTTGAGCCATAAATGGTAAAATATAAAGGCTATTGTTACGTTTATTTTGAGAGAAAAGCTGCATATAGCCTCTTTAAGGCCCTTTAGATACGCATTGATACCGCCACCCTCCCAAAATGTATGATTCTGATGCTGATGATGATAATAACCCCAACATTTTTTTTATATAGCACCTTCCATGCATAGAATCCAGATTAAAGTGTGGGTCTAAAGCATTTAAAAATATATTAAAAAAACTCAACACAACAAAGCGAAGTGTTATAAAATAGCAATTTGCAAATGTCATAACCCTAACATGCAAAAATCGACCAAGCGTTCAGAAAAAAGGGTGGATGTCAGTAGAAGCTTTCAAACCAGCAGGTATGCATTTCTTCTTTTTAAAATCTTCTTGCGTGAAAGTCTGTGCTGTCAATCACATACCACATGTCATAAATAAGGCTAAAACAGTTCGGCACTGAGAATGTTAAGAGTGTATTGTGTTGAAGTCAAAACAGCTTGGCAGAATCAGCAGGTGTGTGAACATCCTCACAAACACACACTAACAATGTGACTCTGTGATGCAGCATAACAGCATGTTTGGTGATGCTCAATTTACACACCATCTAAAGTAATGTGTTTTCGTATAATGAGCGTCTCTTCTCCTCCTGCTATTGTTAGCAAAATAAAAGACCCTAATCTTTCAAAACTGTTGCTCACACTGCAGAATTCAGAGAATTGGAAAGCTTGTGGCGTTCAAATGAGATTTCTCTTTTTGGAACGCAACACTTGCTTGCGCAATTATCATCAGTCCCGGGAATATGTTCACACGGAGGATGTCTTCACGTCTGCTACTCTACAGGACTAAACGTGAAATAATTCGTCCTGTCACAGCCTTTGGTTCTGGTGTGACATCCTCCTTCTGTTGAAATCCTTCCTTAAGAGTGTGTTTTTGTTGTGCCGCCCATTTTCCAAGAGCTGCAATAAATTAGTAAAAAAAAAAAAAAAAAAATGTATTCATGGAATAAGACATCCGGTGCTGGGAATTTGGTGTTGGAGGAGTGGAAATATTGGTAAATGGATTGTATAACAAGTGAAGATGCCAGCTGTCTTGCACTCAACGAGACAAGCATCATGTGTGTGAAAACGTCGTCCATCAATGCAAGTGTCGGTGCATTTTGCACAAGGCTGCAGATTCTTTTCGCATGTGGTGAGGATGGCCGATACAGTCAGTCTGAAGTCTCTCGCAATGCCAGCAGGCATGTCTGCGGACAGCTGCGGAGGGAGGGGTTAGGATGCAGTGCACCCTGCTGCTATACAGTGTAACTGGGCAAAAAAGGAGGGTTTGACACTGGCTCTGTGGTGGCGGTAAGGGGACAAACGGTCTGGTGGTGTCCGAGGATACAAAAGACACATGTGCATGGGCATTCTGCCCGGTAACACTCGAGAGTAGAAACACGATTGGATGACATTGAGTCTCAAATGTATTCTCAATCTCTGTGGCCTCTTCACACAGGCATGGCACCAAACGTGGGGGCCCCTCGACAGCACTAATGCATTCAACCTCTCATTTTGTTTTTAGAGACAAATTAATTAGAATGTTGTTGTGCAAGGTTGATTTCCAGGGTCAAGCCTTCAAAGCGTAAACATGCATTCATTGAGCCTGGAACCTTTTATTTTTCCATTTCTTTAAATCAAAACTTGCTTCTCAAGGCTCTTCGCTTGAGGAGTTGTGCTACGAGTGAAAGAGAAAAAGAGACTAACGGGAAAAGTGCACTGAAAAGAAGTGCGAGAAGCGAAGCAGCATGCAAATAACTCACTATACAAAGTCTGACAGCCATTGATTTTTCCCCCTGTATTTCACTCTATTTTTCACTGCATTGTTTAATTGCGTTTGTGGTGTGACTCATTTCTATCCTTTAAGCAGGGCCATCCAGCATTTCTTTAGATACACTCTCAAAAGCAACACAAAAGGAGAAAAAGAACTGAGAGAGTGAGTAAGAGAATGAGAGAGCACAAAGAAAGAGGTAAAGCCGTGGTTTTGTCCTGAAGTAAGGCATTAGACAGCTCTAGGCGAGCAAGGATGAGAAATGAAAGGATGTATGGGTTAGTTGAAAGCAGGACTACATCTGAGCGGGACTTAGTATTTTGTTAACCAGAGACACAGTCAGGAGGAGCAGACGGGCAACTCAAAATTTAAACAAATCCGTGGATTTCACCCTTTGCCTGGAATTTGATTGCCAGCCGATCTGACCAATCATAACGCTGATATTTTGTGTCCCATTGTATTTGTCCAAAAAAGAAACCAGACAGTAGAGTTAATAGATTACGGTGGAAAAATGGCGAGTACTGAAAACTGCCTCTTTCCGCAGTCGAAAACAACATACCTTCTGATGTTCATTCATGTTTAGTTGGTGCTATTACTAGTAATAAAGAGGAAGAGATCAGTTCACATGCAGCTTGTACTCATGTGAAACAGCGATCTGTCATGACACATTGAAGAGCCACAAAATGGTATTTATTGTTTGATTTTTTTAATGAATTATTAAATTTGAAAGCTGAGACTTTGCTTCATTCCAAAAAGTAACCTGCTCTGTCTTGTCTGTTCACTCTGTTGGCGCATTGTCAGTGTCCTGTTTGCTCCGCGATGTTATTTTCACTGCATGAGATTGTTTGCATGTACACCAATAATGCGCTAATTTCCAATAATCAGAGTAAAGACTTAACTAGAATTAAGAAAAAAACAAGTAACGGAAGTGAAGAGATTTACTTATTAATAAGCATGCCTTCCATTTAAAATAGCTAATTGACTTTTTGGTTGGTTCAACATCTGATTTTTAATAGTAATACAGTAGGTGGTTTGCTGGGGGTGTCAAAGTTTGGCCAAGCTGGTGTTTAACAAGTCTGCCACATGGTCTCTCAGCCTGACCAGCTAATAAGTGTCCAAAACCTCTGCAAAACGACACCAAAACCCAAACGAGTCACTAGATACCTAAACAATATAGTCTGATATTGGCTGAACATGTAACCACAGGCTGCTTTGTAACATAAGAATAATATTTGGTAACCTACAAAGTTAACTTATAACATATGACAATGTTGAAAAGGCCAACAACTAGTGTGAATCAATGTGAATATTAAAATAATTCATTTGTTGATGGGAATTGGGGAATGGAGCTGGTGTCAATTCTAAAAGCTAAAGACATCCATGACTGAACAATAGCTTGTAGGCATACTTGTATTAAAAAAAGGTTAACAATACAAAAGAGCTATTTTACAAAACTGTGTGGGCATTATTTTAAAAAGCCATGACCCCATGGACGAGAGGAGGCTGACCTTCCATGGCCTGCATGGAAGTCAATATGACTATTAAGTCTATTGAGTTTTCTTATTCTTACCCAACATTCCAAAGCACAGTCGATACAGTAGTTAGTAGAAGAGAACATAAGAGAAAAGCCAACAGAGTCCAAACCACACCATCATTTATACAATCATTTAGACCAAAATAGCCCTAGATCCCATAATGCACCACACTCTTTATAAGCAGAGACAGATTAACAGATTAAATGCAGTTAGCATTAACGTGTTTCTCAACTTTAAAACTCAGTCACCCACACACAGGTACTTTAATGTTAGTAATTAAACATGTTGGTAACTGCCGACCACTCTAATGCAAGTTAATTTTAGCAAGCATTTCCCTTTTTAGTGTTAATACTAGAATAATTGAACAGACACTCAAAGCTGTAGAAATTAGCTGATGTAGGACAATAACCATCTAAAAGAGTCCTCTAGTATATTACAGATGTTTCTCTTTATCTGAGAATTTACGTATATGAGAACGTACATGCTTATATATGAACATTATCAATATTAGTTGTGGTGAGATTGATGAAATGGATCCTGCAAGACCAGTTCTACTCTATCACAGAAATCTAATATGGGCGTTGACTCTTAAACAGCGACATGGAGCTTTCAGATGAGACCTAGAGGTGCAGAGGCCCTCTGTGTAGTGTTTGCAGGACTTACGGGGGCTGGTCTTGGTGGGGCTAGGCACCCAGTTCTCTGTGAAGTTGACGTTACACATGTTGGCGCTGCAGCAGCAGAATCTATAGGTGCCATTCTGTATCTGCGACGGCGTGGTGGTAACCACACAACGGTCGTCATGACAGTCCTGCTGGTCCCCAATGTAAGTCCAACAGCCTGCGATGAAAAGATGCAGATGGTTGAGTGAATGCGAGTGAGACACTGTAACGGGAATCTGTAAGAATGTGCATGCGTGCGCATTTCAAGGACTATAATATAATAATATTATAACACTGAATATCATCCACTGAATTGGCTCTATCACTCTCCTCTCCACCTATAGCTGGTGGTCTCACAAATGAATTCAAATTTGAATAGCTGTCAGCTGTTAAATCGAAGGACACAATTAGATAATAACAATTTAGATCAATGAATTACCAAGCAATTCTTAATTTTTTAAGTTTTTTACAAATTTTATTATCAGTTCACTGTATGAAAAAGATGTGTCACAGTTTACTTTATTTTAATATCCTCACTTACAGTGCATGAACTATAGTGTTACTATAGTACTAGTAAAAATAATATACAAAATGATATCTGGTGTCTGATTCATTTTTGTTTTACTGTATATTTTTGGTTGAACTGTCACTTTAAGAAAAGCAGAAGTCAATTGAAGGTCCTTATAAGTATGGAGAAGTTTATTCTGACCTTGTTTAACCAGTCGGATCTCGCCGTCGTGTGTTTTCTCCCACAGGCCGAAGCAGTGGCTGCTTTTGCTACACAGGGTGGTGTTATTTTCTCTGGTGATGTGCCAGTCACCAGCCACACTCTGTTCATCCACCTGCTGGTGCTGGTCATTAAAAGCACACTCCCGCTCTCTCTCCACACTCTGAGCAGCTGCCGAGACAGAAAATAAGAAAAGAGATGAGATTATTAACAGAACATGCAACATCCACCAGGAACTCTTTCTGTAGGCCTAAGAACACAACATGGAAAAGGAAAAAGATCATTAATTATATCCGTCCCTTTAAGGCAAGTCAGCCCACACGGCAGCAATCTTGACAACACCCCCAGTTGGCTATTATCTATGTGTACACAGCTATTTTAAAGTCAACATGAAAACTGTTTTCATCAGTCACGAAATTAAAATTCACCCTGTGAATTATTTTTTTAATGCAAGTTATTGATCTGATTATGAACAATTAATCCATGATGTACCGTACGTTTCATTTTGAATAACATTTTTGAGCTTGTAATTTTTATCAAAATGTCAAAAATGTGAAAATGACTTCTCTATGGTGACACAAGCAATACTTCCCCAATCATTCAGTCCATTTAAACTGCAAGCTCATATTCATTTAAGTCCATTTTTGAACGCCCACATCTCAAAATTCAACCAATAACCGATAGATAGAACCAAACCCCATCCTACATTTTACAGTAGAATGTACATCACAATATAAATATAGATCTGTCTCTACTTCTATTTCATCCTAATGTTAACAGGGAAGACCAACACCTACAATACAGCTAGCTAAGATTACATCTCAATAATATATTTCAAAATGTTTTTGTAAAAAAATAAATTATAAAAACCGAAGCAGCACAAATGATTTTTTTACCAGTACAAATCAGCACAAACAAACAAAACTATTTTAAGTGAATGTGGAGCCGGTCAGGGGGGCTGGTGACGTCATCATCTATGATTCAGTGTCTAAAATTATAAACACTGAAGCAGCACAAACAATTTTTTTAACCGGCACAAACCAGCACAACCGAAGCACAAACAGACAAGACTATTTTGCATGAATTTGGAGCATGTGGGGGGCTGAGTGACCTCAAAATGACCAATAAATATTATTTTAATATCTAAGACACTGAAGCAGCACAAAATACGTTTACCGACACAAACCAGCACAAGCGAAGCACAACGATTGAGCCTATTTTGGGTGAATTTGGAGCAGGTTGTTTGGAGACGTGATCAGCTCAGAATGCATTTTCAATTTGCACATTGAATTTTGCTACATTCATTGCGGGAAATTTAATGAAAATACAATTTCAAGTGTCTTAACTGTGTGTGAGTGTAAATGCATTTAAGAAAAATAACATGTAAATGATAATTTTGCTACATTTTTTGCTTGAACTTGTTAAACATATCTAATAATTTCTGTAATATCTTTTCATTTCACTTAAAAAGCGTTAAAATATGTATTCAATTTACATATTAAAACAAGTGAATGAAATGGCAAAAGTAAATTATATAACTGAATTTTCATTTTGCACCAAACAATGCATAAATGTAATGGAAAACAATTGAAATGAAATGCAGAAATGCATTGCCATTTTGCATATTACATTTCAAATTGAATATTGCAACCCATATGCTTCCATAACATGACTTATTTCAGCCCAACAAAATGATTTCCTGCCTCGAGGAAGTTGAAGAGTTAATTCTCTGCAGAGGATAATAAGGTTGAATGGGGGAGCGTACTTCAGATCGATAGCTAAACCTTGATTAATCGGACGCAATAGGAGGGGCGGGAGGATCTGAAACGGTCCAATGGCTTAATTCTGGGTGAAAAATAACAGAACACCTGGGGTCTCCTGTGCACCTGCTACTTTGTGAACCAACCACGTACCAATTCACTTATGTGTACACAATGCACCCCCCCCCCCAAAAAAAAAAAAAACATTACAGTGCTTCCCATAAGTCACTGTCATGACAACACAAAAAGGGATGGGGGAAACAACATTGCGCTGAGCGTACGTGCAGAAAACGAACCTTTTAAGCAGTGCCGTGTAGTTAGAGAACACAAAACCATGATGACTGATAAGGGCCCTAGCCAACGGGATTGCCCTCATTTCCATGAGCAGAGCCAGCGGGGCTGAATTCTGCTGTCGGCTGATCCCAATCTCCACCGCAGCTGGCCCACACTCACCCCAACTGTATCCAATGAATTAATCCTCTCTCTTTTACCAGCAATGTCATGCAAATTGTCAGGCCAGTGTCTGAGTTACTGAGAGGGAAAAATCATAATGCCACTCGTTTAACAGGCTTGGTGAAGTCATGGATCTGGACTATTGTATTCACAGCGTTCACGAGCGAGCTGGGAGGGGAAAGAGCCCCCTGGTAGCATCATCGCCGTATCCACGTCCCATCAGAGTCCAGAGAGAGAAAGAGAATTGCCGCTCTATGTCCCTGAGGGAGGCCTTTGTCTGCTCCTCTACAGGAGCGAAGCCTGAAACGGCTGCACCGGTTTCTATCATGCCGCACACACACCAGCAAGTGGTAGCACAAACTAGGATGAATGTGTCCTCTGCGTAGCCGCGGATGCCTGACACTGCAGGACACCTCATTATACCGCGCAATTCTTAATCTAAAACTGGGCTGCTCGACCTGAGACCGAGGCGCAAAACGGTCCCTCAGTGGCTAGGGGAGAAAAAAATAGTTCCAGTTTGGCGTGCCTCTCATCAAGACAAAACACAGAGCTCCACTGGGGGCCATAAAGGACTGCTGATGGTTAGGAGATGCCTCCCAATTACAGAGTTAAAGATGGAGGATCCCGTCTCTGCTGACGGTAATGAGCACATGAGGGCTGAGGCAGATGTATAATGCTCATGTCCACACACTCTGTAACATACTGTCTCTGAGATTGAGCATTTGTATTTGCTTTGCGCAGTTACGAGCCTGTGACTGGGGGTGTAATTTCATGTTCGTGCCGATTGTGTATTTTAGGCCTTTTGTTTTGGAGTCATTGACAGGTCATTAGGCGCGGTGGTTTCCTGTAATTTGGGTGAGAAGCCGTGGCCTACCCTCCGACTTCAGGGTTAGAAAGGAAAAAAAAAAGAGCGCCCTAGCATGCATGATTTTCAGATCCAATCACAGAACAGCACACAGCAAAGGAAAACAGTGTAGCATTTTGTCTAGCTCAAGAACAACACCTCAGGCCATTAAGTGGCTCAGATTTTGTTCGAGAAGAACAGCAGGACGCTAAACCTTATAGCAGGGCACTAAGACAAAATCTCTGTTTATTGGTTAAGAGCTTGCCAAGGAGTTTTCTCAGGTATATCTTTAAAAATCAAAGGAGATGTTTCTTTTCAAAGCAGGCCCACTTTCATTGACTTAAGAGCGATGATGTAGCTGATATAACTATGTTACAGAATAACAGGGCCACAAAAAAATCTTAGTTTAGATCTCATTTGCCTATTTTAGGAGGTATATTATTGAATTCTAGGCTCTGAAATAAAAAGCTGCAAGTTCCTTGAAAAGGAACATATTTGCATCAGTCATGTTTTGGCACATCTCTGGTTCGAGGTAGAGGTTTGATTGGGGTGGATTACCAATCCCGCAAGAATCTGTCTTGCCCACAGGTTTCACATTTTGTTCTACTTCAATCCATAAATGCCAGCAATAAGAAGTCAGTCTCGATCTGGTGATATTCTGTTGTGTTCCGATGGCATAGATCTTTAATCCTGCTCCTGGAGTTTAGCACCAACCCGAATCAAACACTCCTGAACCAGTTTATCAAGGTGCTTGAGATGCCTTGAAAATTGCAGGCAGGTAAGTTGGTTTAGGTTGAAACTAAATTTAACAGGATAGTGGTAAAAGGCATATCACATTATGCCACACTGGCCACACTGTTGGGTATACAGACAACATTGTTCATTATGGGAGCCATTTAATTTTGTGGCATCAGTGTAGTTCAAGACTTTGTTGAGGATTCTTGTTCATCAGCTTCAACATCAGCTCAGACATTGTTTGATAGAAATGTCATTACAGCTGATCAATAGCCATCCAGACACAGTAGAGAGTCTGGAAAACTAAAATGGTGCAATTGGCACAATCTTTTTTTCCCCCTTGAATCCCAAGTAATGTTTTTTTTTCTTTTTCATAATTGGGTCTGATGGCACAGTCTAAATTTCTTTCATTCCTGTACAGTACAGCTGGGATGAGAGAATTTCAGTCAAGTGTTTTCCTCATGTCATGATTAAATAAGATTTCACCAACTGGCTCTGTTCCATCTGGACATGCAAGAATATCCAATCTGAATATCCCAAATGACTCGGATTTATATATATATTTTTGTCTGGTCGGTGGCGAGAAAACATTCCTCCACCTCTAGGTGGCAGGGTGCTCTGCTATCCATCGGGAGAGAACAGTAGAAGGGAGGAGGGGGAGGACAAGGGAGGGGAGAGGGGGGTTGTGGGATTGTTTTTGGGGGCAGTGGAGGCAGTCTGTACCAGCCTGACTCTACCCTGCTACTGTTTGTGCACCGGCTCAAGGTTAAAGCTGCCGCTCAGAGGCCTGTCAGCATTTTCCCCAGATAACACTCAACTCTGCCTTACTGAGGACCTTCGGCCTGTGTTAGTTCTACCTCCCGGTCATCATTTTAAAGGGAAAGTACAGTAAAACAAGCTGGTGCTACTTCGCAACAATTGAAACTGACTCTTTTGCTGGCACTGGGAAAAACTAAACTGGGGTTTTCTATAAAGAATACATTCGAGTAAAGAACTACATGAACCTAAGCCGAGTACAAATAATGATTAATTTATCACATCTCCGCTGAGGCCAAAAGCTGAGGCTGTGTCTGCCAAAGAGCCGGAGGGCCTGTGGCCGTTTCCTTTCGAGTAGATTATCTGAGAGGCTGGCACAGGCCCCATCTCCTGCCAATGTCTCTATGGACAGGGAAGCTGTCAGTCTGGCTCTCAGATACAGGAAGGCAGAGGGGGAGTGCTGGCACTGGAGGGGGAACCAGTAGAAACCTCATTCCAGCTTGGCCTAGGAGAACTTGGGGGCCAAATAAAATGGAGGATGGTTCAACAATTCCAGGGCCATCTGGCAAGGCAGAACCACGCAAGACCATCAGGCAATTAGATTAAGTGGCACATTGGTGTGA